TTTTGGAATCATCTCCCCATGTCAGGTTGCTTTATGGCTCTAGGCAAACTCATTCTCTTTTTTCCCCTTCTGAGAGGAATTTACTGATTCATAAAATTATCAGGTATTGCTATTAAGTGCATCTCATCTTTCTCTTTCAAAGCTGATTACAGCTGTTGCCCAGCCCTAGGAAAAGCCATGCTATTGTTAGTAAAGGATGACGTCATTTTATAAAAAGTTTTTTAATGATTTTATTTATTTATTTATACCGTTAAATAAATAATAATATATAATATATAATAATATAAATAAATATATATTATTCATATAAATATATACATTTAATATATATTATATATAATATACATAAAATAAATATATTTTATTATAAATAAATAAATAAATAAATAACGAAAGAGAGAACACAAGCAGGGGGGAGTGGCAGAGGGAGAGGGAGAGAAGCCTGCTCCCGGCTGAGCAGGGAGCCTGATATGTGGCTGGATCCCAGGACCCTGGGATCATGACCTGAGCCCAAGGCAGATGCTTAACCGACTGAGCCACCCAGGTGCCCCTATTTTATCAATTTTTATTTGATATTTGTTTTGCCTTCCACATTAGAGGTGACTTCTTGGATAGCTACTCACTTCCACCTGAGCTCTCAGGGTCTTTGGAGTCTAAATGACCCAAGTGCAAAATCTTTTTTTTTTTAAGACTTTATTTATTTATTTATTTATTTATTTTTAAGATTTTATTTATTTGAGGGGCGCCTGGGTGGCTCAGTGGGTTAAAGCCTCTGCCTTCGGCTCAGGTCATGATCTCAGGGTCCTGGGATCGAGCCCAGCATCGGGCTCTCTGCTCGGCGGGGAGCCTGCTTCCTCTTCTTTCTCTCTCTGCCTGCCTCTCTGCCTACTTGTGATCTCTATCTGTCAAATAAAATAAATAAAATCTTTAAAAAAAAAAGATTTTATTTATTTGAGAGAGGAAGGGAGAGGGAGAGAGAGCACGAGTGGGGGAACAGATGGACCCAGAGGGAGAGGGGCAACAGACTCCCCGGTGGAGCAGGGAACCTGACTCAATCCCAGGACCTCAGGATCATGACCTCAGCCGAAGGCAAACATTTAATCGACTGGGCCACCCAGGCACCCCCCACGTGCAAAATCTTGAGGTTAATTTGATCTTCTGCACAGGCCTCATAGTAAGCCTGCTCCTTAGTTTGATTTGAAATGGTGGTGTCCTGGGGCACCTGGCTGGCTCAGTCAGAAGAGCATGCAACTCTTGATCTCAGGGTTTGTGAGTTTGAGCCATATATTGGGTGTAGAGATTACTCAAATGAATAAAACTTAATAAAAATTTTTTTTGGAGGTGCTGGGTGGCCCTGCATTGGGCTCTCTGTTCCATGGGGAGCCTGCTTCTCCCTCTCCCACTACCCCTGCTTGTATTCCCTCTCTAGCTTTCCTTCTCTGTCCAATAAATAAATGAAATCTTAAAAATTTTTTTTTTCTTTTTGAGGATTCCTGGGTGGCTCACTTGGTTAAGCATCTGCCTTTGGTCTAGGTCATGATCCCCTGGTATGGAGCCCCACAATGGGCTCTCTGCTCAGCGGGGAGCATGCTTCTCCCTCTCCCTCTGCCTGCTACTCCCCCTGTTTGTGCTCTCTCTTTGTCACATAAATAAATAAAATCTTTATTTATTTATTTTTAAAAATATTTTATTTATTTATTTGTCAGAGAGAGAGAAAAAGCAGTCAGAGTGGCAGGCGGAGGCAGAGAGAAGAAGCAGGCTCCCCGCCAAGCAAGGAGCCCCATGCGGGACTCGATCCTAGGACCCTGGGATCACGACCTGAGCCAAAGGCAGCAGCTTGACCAACTGAGCCACTGAGGCACCCATAAATAAAATCTTAAAAGAAAAAAAATTTTTTTAAGATTTTTATTTATTTATTTGACACAGAGATCACAAGCAGGCAGAGAGGCAGGCAGAGACAGAGGGGGAAAGCAGGCTTCCTGCTGAGCAGAGAGCCCGATGTGGGGCTCGATCCCGGGACCCTGAGATCATTACCTGAGCCAAAGGCAGAGGCTTTAACCCACTGAGCCACCCAGGTGCCCCAGAAAAAATTTTTTTTAATGTTGGTGTTGCAACATTCTTTCTTCCTCCCCACCCCCCTACTATTTTCTTATTTCCTTCCCTCTCTTTCAGTATTTGGTCTGCTCCTTGCCTTTGCCAGTGACAGACTTCTTTTTATTTCTATCTCACATTGTTTCTAATACACCCCTCACTCCCACCCAGGGGAACTGGAATCCCCAAGCTGTATTTTTCACTTTGGGAAGCTGTTCCGCTTCAGATGACTCCAGTGAACTGGAGTTACCCAATAAAACTTAACTGATACTAAGGCCAGAACTGACACCTAAAGGAATTGAACAAGGTTCAGTAATAACCCTGTATTTGCTTTCTCTTAACTTCCTTCTCCTTATTTTGTCTTATTCCCTGCCAGAGCTCTTCTGGGTTTTTTGTTGGTGGTGGTGGTGGTTGTTGTTGTTGTTGTTGTTTTTAAATTTTTACAAAAAGCTAAAATTTGGAAATTTACAGACATAACACAGGAGAAAGTAGTTTAATGAACTCATGTATTCCCATCACCTAATCTCAGTAATTATCAACATTTTGCCAATCTTGTTCCATTCCACATATTGTTTCCAATTTTTATTATAAAAATAATTTTTTAAAAGTTTAAAGAATACGATGATTACCCATACACCTACTACCCACACTAAACAATTGTTAATGTTTTCTCCCACTTACTTCAATATACCTATGTGACCCATTTGAGTCTCTTGCATACATCATGACCTGTCATCCATAAATATTTCATGAGGCACCTCCTAAACAGCATTTTTCCTACATAACCATAATCCCATTATCACACTTAAGAAAACTTTTTTTAAAGTTTTTGTTGTTGTTGTTGTTTATTTATTTAACAGAGATCGCAAGTAGGCAGAGAGGCAGGCAGAGAGAGAGGGGGGAAGCAGGCTCCCCGCTGAGCAGAGAGCCTGATACTAAGCTGGATCCCAGGACCCTGGGATCATGACCTGAGCCAAAGGTGGAGGCTTAACCCACTGAGCCACCCAGGCGCCCTAAGAAAACATTTTTAAAAAAATTTTTATTTAAGTAATCTCTACGTATAATGTAGGGCTCAAACTCCCAACCCCAAGATCAAGAATCTCACACTCTTCTGACTGAGTCAGCCAGGTGCCCCTCACACTTAAGAAAATTAACAATACTCCCTAATATTAGCTAATATTCAGTTCACTGGATTTCCTCAATTGTCCCCAAAATATATAGCTACTTTTAAATTTTATTTTATTATTTTTAAAGATTTTATTTATTTGAGAGAGAGAGAGAGCATGAGGGAGAAGCAGACTCCCTGCTGAGCAGAGAGCCCCAGGCAGGGCTGGATTCCAGGACCCTGAGATCCAAAGGCTGATCTTTTCTTTTTTTTTTTTTTAAGATTTTATTTTTATTTATTTGACAGAGATCACAAATAGGCAGAGAGGCAGGCAGAGAGAGAGAGAGAGAGAGAGAGAGGAAGGGAAGCAGGCTCCCTGCTGAGCAGAGAACCCGACTCGGGGCTCTATCCCTGGACCCTGGGATCATGACCTGAGCCGAAGGCAGAGGCTTTAACCCACTGAGCCACCCAGGCATCCCCCACAAAGGCTGATCTTAACTGACTGAGCCACCCAGGTGCCTCCCGGGGTAATTGTTTTGCAGACTATTCCACTTTCTACGTTTGTTGATTATCTCCTTGTAGTGTGATGTATTTAACTTATTCCTTTAGCCCTCACATATTTCCTGTACATTGCTAATTAGGTCGAAAGGTTGATAAGATTAAGATTAAACACTTTTGACAAAAATACTTAATAGACAATGCTATGTATTTATTTTATCTCATCAAGGACCACATAATGTCAGTCGTCCTGCTATTAGTGTTGCAAAGTTTGATCACTTGGGTAAGGTGGTGATTATCATCAGATCCCTCCATTTTAGATGACTTTTTTCCCACTGTACAATTTGCCAGTAATGTGTGTGGTGATATTTGTCCCCATGATAATATCTCGTTCCCCTATCAGCCTGTCACTTAAAGTTTTGATGACTGATGCCCCGGCCTGAATTAATAATTTCATTTTGGGTTGCAGAGTGGATAGTGATTTTCTAACTCTTTCATTCTTATTACATTTATTAGATGGAAATCTTTTAAAAAAGAGTTTTCCCTTATCAACAACGGATGAACTACAGTTCTTCCTAAGAGGGAGTAAATGCTTAATTCTTTTCTTTCAATTACTAATTTTCAGAGTAAGGAGTTGGTATAAAAGTTGCCTTCAGAGTGGCAAATTAGGTTTTTCTAATCTTTCTTTTCTTTTCTTTTTTTTTCCTTTGAGTATTACTATAGACTTCTGTGGTTTTTGCCGTCTCTTCTCTTCTCACCCATCCCTTCTCCCTCGTTCCCTTTATCCATGGCGACTGCCAACTCTCTCCTCACTCACGCCTGGGCTTTCCAATCAGCCCGCTAGGGGACACTAGCTTCCTCCCTGTCCCTACGCTGCCGCTCTATCATACATTTGGCTATCCGCTACCAAGTGTTGTCTCACTGGTGCCGACGCTGTCCACGGAGCCGCTCTAGGCTGATGGGAGGCCGTCCGCACTGCGTGGGGAAGGTTTGGACGACGCAGTCGCCTCGCCGGCCCCCGGGGCGGTTAGCGCTTCCGGGGTCGGAGGGTGCGCGGGGTTGAAAGCGGGCCGCTCCGCCCCGTCCCCCTCCCAGACCAGCAGAGGCAGCAGCCGGAGCAGCCGCAGCCTGCGCCCTCTCCCGCCCGCCCGCCCTCCGCCCGCCCGCCCGCCCTCCGCCGCCCTCCACCCGCCCCGGGGTCTCTTTCCCCCTTCCTCCTCCTCCTCCTCCACCCCCCCCTTCCTCCTCCGCCCGCCCGCGGGGCCCCCCTCGCCTTCCCGCCCGCCCCTATTGTTCCGCCCCCGGCCTCCCGCCCTTCCCCTTCCCGCCCGCTCCCCTTTTCCCCTCAGTCGCCTCGCGCCTGCAGGTAAGCTTCAAAATTCTCCCTCCGCCCCCAGCTATAGCTCTGTTTCCACTCTTGCCATCTTTCTCAGCGGGCTCCGGTTCTCGTCACGAGCCCCGGCCTCGCGTAGTACCGCGTGAGCGCCTACCCCCTCACTCTGGCTGGCCGGCCATTCACGCGAGGCCCTGGCTCAGGCGCGGCCTAGTAGGCCTCGCGCAAGGCCTACCCCCCTCCCCCCGCCTTTTCCCGGTGGCGGCTGCGCAGGAGTCAAGGAGGGCGCGCGCGCGGTAGGGGGGGGCGGCGGTGGATTTGTTGGTTGAAGGGGGTGGGGGGAGGCGATGGCCGGCTTGCTGGCCGGGCGGGTGAGCGCGGCTCCCCGCGGGGGTCAGGCGCTGGCGCAGCCACACGAGGAGGCGCTACTAGTCCGGCCCCTCCCCCTGGATCGCAGCGCCCCCCCCCCGACCGAACCGTTTATTTTTTTCCCTTCTCTCTTTTTTAGTGGAGGCATGGGGGGGGGGCATTTTTTAATTGGAAAATGTTTGGATGACCGAGGGGAGGGGGGCGGCGGAGTTAAAGGGTAAACGGGCTCCCAGTTACCGAGTTATTCAGGACGTTCTTTCGGGGTAACGAATTTTGAAATTACAAAATGCCTGCGGATATAGACGCAGGCCGAGCTATTTATAGGAGAAGGGGTAATGGGCTGCAGGATTAACAGCTGGATTGCTGGGATTGGGTACACTTATATTGACCCAGTCAGGAGAAAATGACAGGGATTTCTTGGATGTTTGGAGTTAGAAATGCAGCTTTGTGCCTTAATCACGAAATGGCCTTCTAAAAGATTTTCAGTGTTCTTGCCCTTTCTTAGCTGCGTTATTCTGGTGTTTGTAAAGTGATTTCTGTTACATTTGAGTGGAGATAAGCTAAACTGCCAGTATTGTACCGTATCTCATTAAAAAGAAAAAGTCATTCTTACAGACATAACTTGTCTCCCCTTTTCCACTCTGCCCCCTCCCCCCAGCACTGTTGTTTTTTCATGAGTGAAAAGTGTTGAATTCTGGGATTTTGCCAGCAGTTAATTCTATTTTGAAGATGGGGGAATGAGGTGCCTTGGGGATGTAAAGCCCATTTTTTAAATCATGCTCTGGAGGTAATGGTGGGGCAGCTTGCCATAAACAGAATGATCTGGCAGCAACTTAACACTTTTTAAATGTTTAGGGATGGGCTTTGTGTTAGAGTAAAGTTAAAACGGTGGCTGGTTTGTGAAGGAGGAAAACTAGCTGTAGGAGTGTTCATTGATGTTCAGTTTTGAAGGGATGGTTTCTAAAAATGTCACTGGAGAAATTTATCAACTTTGGAGAACCTTTTTAAAGCTAATGCTGTTAGGTCCTAAGGAGGTATGGTAGGAAAAGGTATACCCAAAACCAGATTCTATTTCTCCATGTAATTTGTTACTTGAAAACTGAAATATTGGGAACATTGTTTCAGAGGATAGATGGGAAAAGAGCCTTCTTTGTAGGAAAGGTTCATTACTGCTCTTGCTTAAAACAACTGTACAATAAATTTTTAGCAATGCCAGTGTTTTTTTTTTTTTTTATTGTTTTCTTTGGAAGAAAATTCAAGATTTAATAGATTTGAATAGATGGAGTAGTAAGAAAGGTTAATACACAGAAGCAAGGAAATTTTTCAAATCTGAGTGGTTATCAAGTTGGGTTGGGAAAGGGTATAGAAGAAAGGACTCGGGCTGTACTTAATGTACTGAATGTTTTCCCAGAGGGAAATACGGAATCCCACCCTTCATAGAAGGCTTTCATAGATAATGCCCTTTTCAGTGAGATGATTGATTTAAAACTTATTAAATTATTTGGTGTCATCTGTCAAGATGTGAAATTTTAATGTGAGAAACATCTCGATTTTTTAGCTAGAAATTGCTGCGAGTAGGAAAACTTAGTGTCTTTTCTAGCTTTCAGCCTGAGCTCCTACCTAACAAAGAAGCAGAAGGTCATCTGCCTCTCTCTAGTTGATTAGTTTGAGGTTTGGCCTCATGATTTCCAGGTATTTCTGTATCATGTCAAAGCTTATTCTGCTGAAGGACAAGTGCACGTTCAGCAGTTCCCTTACAACCATTGCCGATTGAAGGAATCCTCCTCATCCTGAGAGTCAGCAGAAACCCTGCCATTAAGGAGAGCAGACTGAAAAGTCTCCTTCCATACTCTACAGAACCTGAGCTGTAAATGGTTGTCATTAGTGCAGTTGTGCTGGGTGTACACACACTTGCCAACTGATAGGTTGTCATTTAAGGAGAAGAGTCCGGAAACATTGATAATGGTGAAAATTATTTTAGGAACTATTTCTCCTATGTTTTCCTTTCTGATTTTGGTCATGTTTGCATTTCAGTTTTTGGCTTTCACCCCCACCAGTGACCAAAGACTTGACCACTCAAAGTCCAGCTCCCCAGAACACTGCTCGACATGGACACCGGTGTGATTGAAGGTGGATTAAATGTCACTCTCACCATCCGGCTACTTATGCATGGAAAGGTATGCACCAGCTTGGGAAATTGGGTCATAGTAACTGCTCAGGGAGAGGCCAGGAAGAGAGGGCATGCATCTTGGAGCTCATCAGATTAGCACTGTGGGGCATCTGGCGTTAGCACTCTTCTCTATCAGAGTAGATGAGAGTGTAGTGGGAAAATGGACAGACTTTAGTAGGAAGCTCCACTGAGCAGGAAAGGCTTAACTAGAGGATGGAGCCAAAGACTGTCTCATATCTGGATAATAAAGTTTTGCCTGTAGAGGTTGCTATAGCTTGTGATAAGTAGATTTCCTTGGCTCAGACAATTTTGGGAAACTTAAGGTGGGGGGGGTGGGAGGTGGGAGGTGATGTATTTGGTCCTTTAAAAAATAACATCTTAAGCACAATAGCATTTAATCATTACTGCATCATTATTCCTTCAAAATTTCTGGATATCTCATTTATGTTTTGAGCAAATAAAAGAAAAAGCTCACCCAGTCCCCTTTCCTATAAATCTTAGTTTTCGCATTGCTTCGGATAGTTAAAAATTCCTTTTCATAATAATGAACACTTGGAGTTTCCTTTTATTTGATGCTATTTTTTTCCCTTGCAGGAAGTTGGCAGTATCATCGGAAAGGTAAGACAGTTTCACTTCAACTCTAATTACTCTTTAGTCAGTCTGGGTTGAAATAGCATTTGGAGCTCACTCTTGACTTTTCCTCTTACAGAAAGGAGAATCAGTTAAGAAGATGCGTGAGGAGGTAAGTTTGTGGGGGGAGTTAAGGGAGTGTTAAGTCCTAAAGGCAGAAATTTTCTTATTAATGAGTGATTGCAAGGGGAAAGGTCTCAAAAGGAAAATGTATTTTTCTTGTTTGGTTATTTGTAACGGCATATAGTATGCTGGGAAATGTAGTTCCTGTGTCTTAGTTCACTCAAGCATTAAGGCAGGTTCTGTAGTCTGAAGACAAACATGAGCAAGTGTTTGAAATAATGCTGAAATTGCCTTGTGTCAAAATAACGTAGGCAGCTCCTTGCTTATCTTATTTGGGGGGGGTGTTCTATATATACTCAGATCTTTTTGTCTTATTTAAGCTCTCGGCCTTGTTTTTTATCCAGAGTGGTGCACGTATCAACATCTCAGAAGGGAATTGTCCTGAGAGAATTATCACTTTGGCTGGACCCACTAACGCGATCTTCAAAGCCTTTGCTATGATCATTGACAAACTGGAAGAGGTGTGTTGTTCTCTCTCATTCTGCACTTAGTCTTTGTTTTATTTTACTTTCGGGTGTTTTTTAAATTTCATTTTTTATTTAGAGTGCGTGTGTTTGTGCGCACGCATGCCCACCCTCAGGAGGGGAGTGGCAGAGGGAGAGGCAGAGAGACTCCTCAAGCCCACTCCTGATGAATGCAGAGCCCACACGCAGGGATCAACTCCAGGACCCTGAGATCATGACCTGAACTGAAATCAGGAGTTGGCCGCTCAGCCAACTGAGCCACTCAGGCACCCCTCCCCACGTAGTCTTCCTTTTAAAGTGCTAGACAGCTTAGTGATTTTCTGAGAGCTTTTAAATTCAAGGAAAAAATGGGTCATAAATATCTTTGAGTCCTTCCCCCACTTCAGTGTCCCCAAAATCTGGCCATTAAGTCATTTGAATCATTAAAACAAATTGCTTGACTATTACCTGGGACTCAACATAAAAAAAAGTGAGAAACTAGCATCTTTTATTTTCATTTTTTTTGACTGACCGTTTTGAAGGTATGATAGTACTGTTTTACTCAACATTACATTCCCTGATTTATAGTTGAATGAATCTAAATGTGCTTTCTTTAGGTGCCTTGGTGAACACTATTGTATAGTATGAATAAATAGATACCTTTCAACCTTGGGTGTAGTTAAGTTTTTAAGAAAATAAGTCTGATAATGTCGTGTCAGACCTGTATCTGCCTCCTCCCCTTCTTCAGTAATGCTGCTAATGCGAAGGCTGCATTTGACACCACAGGCAGAAGGGAGCTGTTGGCTGCTGCTTGAGTTGGTGGTTGGATACTTAATGGTGCCTGAAATTTTATCATAGCCAAGATCAGAAATGCTATCTTTTGACCTGCAGGGCCCTGCTAATCCAGATCCTGAAGCTTAAAAAACATTCAGAAGATGTATTCATACTTCAACTTGCCCTTGACTTTAAGGGCTTATGTTTAAGCACTTTCCAGGTCTAGCTATTACATAGAGATTAGGCTGAGAAGTGATGTTTACAACACTTAATCCTCAGGAGGCTAAATTTAACTAGGTTAAAACATGACTTTTTGGGTGTGGCATATTGTTATGGGAAAGATGGTGGGCTTTGGAGCCAAATACAGTCATTTAATTTAAAAATCTACAGCTTTGGGGCGCCTGGGTGGCTCAGTGGGTTAAAGCCTCTGCCTTCGGCTCAGGTCATGATCCCGGGGTCCTGGGATTGAGCCCTGCATCCGGGCTCTCTGCTCAGCAGGGGAGCCTGCTTCCTCCTCTTCTCTCTCTGCCTGCCTCTCTGCCTACTTGTGATCTCTGTCTGTCAAATAAATAAATAAACAAAATCTTTATATAAAAAAAAATCTACAGCTTTTTAGATGTGATTGAGTACTTGGCCTCGATTTCATTATCTGTATAATGGTAATATTACCAAGAAATTAAAATAATGATACATAGAAATACACAACTTAATCTTCCCAGTTTTCTGGTAGAGCAGAATTGGTTCTTTGAACATTCTAGATTGCATTGTTTCATCTTTCTCTTAATGTTTTATTTAATTTTGACTTTGATAATTGTTTTACTTTGCAGTCAGCTCTAATTTCCAGAACTAATAATCATTTTGCTTCCTACCATACTCCATCTTAACCCTCCATGAAGTCAACTATATTTAGGGCTAATCCTGAAGAAGTTTGTAGGTGTTTTTATCTTTTCAGAAATAGTTGTTTTGGGAGGTGGGGAGGCAGTATTTGAACTTTTGCTGATGGTAGATCATGACATATACCCTTATAAGGTTAAAACAGTTCTGTTACAGCAGTTACGGGTCCCAGGGATCTGCTGAAACTTACATTCGTTTGTTCTGATAAATTTCTTTTTGAAGGACATCAGCAGCTCTATGACCAATAGCACAGCTGCCAGTAGACCCCCAGTTACCCTGAGGCTGGTGGTCCCTGCTAGTCAGTGTGGCTCTCTCATTGGGAAAGGTGGTTGCAAGATCAAGGAAATACGAGAGGTTTGTAACTTTCGTTGTTTTCAAAATGTTCATTATAAATACGGATTTCTCTATTAATAGCTCTTAGTATGGCTAGGAAAAGTTTGCATTTGAGATGAATATTGTTAAAGTAACACTCCTGGATGGATTGGGAAGACAACATTCATAACACACATAAAATGTAGGGTTTTTTTGTTTATTTTTTAACAATTCATATATCCTAACAAGTCAGAAGGTTAATCAGAATTTCTAATAGTTGAACATGACCTGGTTTCTTTTGTTTTTGTTCTTGTTTGTTTTTTGTTTGTTTTAGAGTACTGTGCTGGGGGGTGGGGGGACAGAGGGAGAGGAAGAGAGAATCCCAGGCAGGCTCCATGCCCAGTGTGGAACCCAGTATGGGGCTTGATCCCACTACCCTGTAAGATCATGACCTGAACTGGAATCAAGAGTCGGACGCCTGACTGAGCCACCCAGGCGCACTGTTTCCATTTTTTAATTTGGCAACTTTTCCATGAGACTACGTAATTTTTTTCATGTCTAAGAAGATTAAAGTTTGATATATAATATCTTGGCCTTGGCCAAACTCCTACTGAACAGCAAGGGGGAAATTGGGAGATATAGTAGGATGCAGTTGTAATTGTGTTCCCTTTTAAATTGTGGCTCTTAACATTGAATTATGGAAGCTTTTAAAAGTGTCTGGGAGTTACTGAATTGGATGTTGGAATGAAATTTAAGTGGCTTCTAAAGGAGTTTTCAGGAGCTTGACCATACATGACAGGAGAGCAGGGATTTTGGTTTTATGTATTCCAAGCAACCTTGAATGGTTCCTGACACATAGAATGGGCTTAATATAAATATTTATTTAATAAGAGAATGAAAAGTTGGTGATACTTGTGGAGATTTTGTTTGATGGCCCACGAAGCTACCATTAGCTGAAAGGAAACTGTCTAGAAGGGCCTTTTTCTTGAGAGCAGCTTAAATTTAGGCTGTTGTTCAGGTTTATTCTTGATTTTCAGAGGCTAATTTATTTATAACTGTGATTAAATAGTCCTATCTGGAGTAAGGGAAGAGTGGGAAGGGAGAATAAAAAGGGTAAAATAGGAGATGGGATAAGTATCTCTACTGAGCGTTCAACTCTAAAATTGCTGCTTAGGGAATTGGAAGAGTATGAGCTGTTTTTATCTGATTTTTAAAATTTCTTTTTACCCCAAAGAGTACAGGGGCTCAGGTCCAGGTGGCGGGGGATATGCTCCCCAACTCAACTGAGCGGGCCATCACTATTGCTGGCATTCCGCAATCCATCATTGAGTGTGTGAAACAGATCTGCGTGGTCATGTTGGAGGTAAGCCCTCAGGCTCATGCTGAGAGTGGGGGGAGGGTTATTCTAGGGAGACAGACTGCTCTATATTTAGTAAGACTAGAATTAGGTGAAGCTGTTAGAAGCTTCCAGTGGGGGTGGGGAAGAGGTTCCCTGAGTTCATATTTTCCTTCCCCCAGCTTTGACTTTTCTTATAGTCTGAGCAAAAATAGAAACTGTTAAGCAGTAGTGAACTTTTGGTTTACAGCAATTCTAGTAGGGTTGGTAGGGGAATATTGACTACTCGGACTGAGTGAACAAAAGATGTTACTGGGTTTCTGAGGAACTGAGTTAAGTTGCCTTTGGATTACAGTATTTTGGCTGTGAACAATTTTGATGCATTCTTCAAATTAATTTTTGTGTTTTAAGGCAGGATTATATTCAAGATAGTTATATAGGAAAAAATTGACCCATAGTGGTGTTTTTGAATGATTTATGAGGTCCTGGTAGCATATGTTAAAATAAGAATAGCAGAATTAAGGGAAAATCTTTATAGAATTGTTATGGAATTCATTCCATGTTGCATGAAAAAGGAAAGTAAAATTTTCAGAATGTTGACTGAACCTTTGAACTGTTTCTTGACAGTGTCTATATTATCCTAGGGATAATACTGGGGTGTTTTATTTCCTATTTTGGCTTCATTTCTTATGTAGGCCAAAATGTAAGATGCTTAATTACTAATTACGTACGCATAGAGGTTTGTCGTGTTCATTAGGTTTACTTGAAAACGTGGAAATAATGCGTAAATTATTACAGGGGAATCTTCTTTGATGAGAATTAGTGTGAGCTGTGTAGTCCATGGACCCATCTTACTGCTTTAAAGGCAAATAACTACAGATGATTTGAGATTAGATCTAGCCAGAGACAACGTTGGTAGGTGAAGGGATGGAAATTAGTACAGTTGTTAATTTAACTGATCTGTGTGAGCTTAAGCCACACAGCTGAAGCAGCTTTGAAACCTTATCTCTTTTTGTTTTTTTCCCCTCTGACTCTCTCCCAGTCCCCCCCGAAGGGCGTGACCATCCCGTACCGGCCCAAGCCGTCCAGTTCTCCAGTCATCTTTGCAGGTGGTCAGGTAAGAAAGTTCTTATTGGTGGGCTAGATTGAACGAGGATTATATTTGAAATGTCAACTTTGCCAGCAGCACACCAGGCCACTCTGCATGCTTGCTGAAACCCGTATTCTGGCCATAGTTTGACGTGCTTTTGGTTTTATTTTTTTTGTACTGGAGAAAGCTATGAATGCCAAGCCCTTAATTTTTAGCAGACAATGGGAGTTTTGTAGGCACTCGGAAGGGGGAATTTACTTGGTGATTTAAGGTGGGTTGGGTTAGAAGAAAGGGTTAAATTGCCTTGGTGTCACTACTACTCTCCCTGTCTCCCCCCCGCACCCCATCCATGCTTTTTTATGTGTGGGGTGTTCTTTAGAGGTCTGAAAAAAAGTAGCAAAGAACTGGACCTCTGAAGGAGATTGTGGATGGTGGTCTCAAAATTGGGGGGTCCTAAACTTGAGTGTCCTACAAACTTCCCCTTCCCCCCCACCTCACCTCCCCTACTCCTACCCCTTCACTCCCAAACTCCAGTGAATTGTTTCCCCAGGCTCTTAACCTTATAAATGCTGGTTTGAATCCACATGGCATAACTGAAACCAGCTGGGGTGAGGGTTCAGTGTGCGAGAATAGAAGGGGGAGAGCATGTTGGGCTGTGGTGCTATGATCTTTGGTATTAGAGTAAGAACACCAAAGCACCCCCTTGGCCTCTTTCTACTTCACCCACCTAAATTCTTGATCCTTGGTACATGGTTTATTCTGAAGTTAGATTTTTATGACAGGAGCATGGATCAGAACCATGGTAGTTTTATGCGTTGCTGGTTAGCATTTAAGGAGTAGGTAGGTCAGTTTTGTAAATGTTGGGGTTCAGGATGAAATAGTGATCTTCATTTTGGTGGCTTCCTGAGCAGGTGCATTGCTCAAAATGCCTTTTCCCAATGAGGAGCTGGCCTGTTACAAGCACACTTAATTCAGTTAGTTGCATCTTTTGTTTGAATTGGGGGAAGCATAAACTTGAAGTCCATCTCATTCACATTCTGTTTTGAGTTGGCATAAAACAACAAGATTCTGGGGACTTAGTTTGTCAAGTGCTTCTGGGAGCTTTCACAAGAAATCATGTTGCAGTGTTAACCTTGAGACAGTTTAGTACCTTGCTTTGTACAAACTGGATTGGTTAAAGGGTTCTGTTAGTCTGGATAGTCAAGCGGGATAAACAAAGGCCCAGAGTCAGTATAGCAAGGACGCTTAGCCTTAGGAGTTTTCCCTTCTCCCCAGGAACTCTAGGTTCCTGCTCTTCTGGATTCTTTTACTCCCATTTGGGATTATAAAGAGTCCCATGCTGTGTAGCAGCAGTCCTCTCTATAATTCTTCGTTTCCCTTTCCTTTCCTCTCCTCCTCTTTCCACTTCCCACTTCTTACCTCTTTGCTTCCCCATCTCCCTCCCTCCCTCCCCCCTTTATTCAGTTGACCACCCTCTAAAGGTTTAAAGCTTCTTTCATGAGTGGCCCTGATTATTCCCATGGGCCTTTTTAAATGGACGGGTTCATGCAACGTCCACAGATGGACCTGTATCTTTTGTTCCTTTGTGACAAAAGTGGGCTCTGTAGGGGTTCAACTTAATCCCACACTGACCAGTAGCTGGCATCAGCTCTGTTGCCCCATTCCTCCATTCTTACTGAAAATAGTCCAATTGTGCAGTGTGATACCTGCCACAAGGTAACTTTTTTTTTTTTAATTCACTGATTGCAGCTCGTTTCAAATTGTGTCGTGAGCTCCTTTTTAAAGGAAAAGAGAAAATTAAACAACTTTTTTTGTGTGAATTTCATGCTGGTGACAAGGTGCCGGATTGACAGCCCTGGAGACTGAAATCCTCTATTTATCCACAGGACAGGTACAGCACAGGCAGCGACAGTGCGAGCTTTCCCCACACCACCCCGTCCATGTGCCTCAACCCTGACCTGGAGGGACCACCTCTAGAGGTGAGAGGGGATGTTCAGTCTCCAAGGCTCACTCAATCCTTCCGCCTCAGCCGAGACTGCCAACACGCGGGGGGCCAGTGGCGCTGGTGATTTTTGTGCTGTGGACACCACCTGTCCACGGGGACCTGGACTGACCCCCCCCAACCTCATTTCACACAGGCCGCGTAGCCCACCAGATGGTAACACCAACTCTCTTTTTTTTTTTTTTCCCCTTTTTTCCCTTTTTTTCTTTTTTCTTTTTTTTTCTTTTTTCTTTTTTTCTTTTTTTTTTTTTTTTTTTGTTGTTGTTGTTCAACCCCTCTTCCCCATCTCCCACTCTTCCTATCCCATTTTCACCTTCCTACCCCCACCTGGGTGCACTTTTGGGGGTACTGGCCACTGTGATGTGAAAAGCTTCACATCCCGTTAACCAGCCACTCCTTCCCCTCCCTTCCTGTTCCTTCTCCTTGTCCCTCACCCCTTGCCCTGAAGACCCAGCTCCCTTTTTGGAGGTTATGGTGTGGGGGGAGGAGGGTGTAGTGGGAGCTGCAAGTGCCTTTTATGGAGGGGGAGGTGGGAGAAGGTGCAGGGTTTAGCACACAGTAATTTGTCTTACTTACTTACTTATTTATTTATTTTGCATTCTTGTGGTCAGCTCCCTAGTGTTAGGTACTCAGCTAGCTTCCAGTGCATTTAAGGTCTTTAGGCAGATGTAGAGAAAAATAAGATAGGGAAAGGGAAGTGTTTCAAAACATGCCACGCAGGTTTGTGCAAAACAAATCATTCATGTCACCATGACTGGTATATCAGGGTTGGGGTGGTTGAGGGAAGAGACCATTTTCCTCCTAGGCTGTCTTGAATATAGGGAAATGAAGGGGGTTTGGTCAATCGAGGCATTGCTTAATCCCACTTCCCACCTTTCTATTAAGAAACAAACGTGTGTTTTGCCTTTGATTGCAGGGAACATGGCTCCCTTCATAGGTTTCCTGGAATAAGGCATCATATTTAGGTTTCAAAGGTGGCCAACTCAGGCCTGTGATTGTGAGATATCACCTACTGCCTCAGTCTCTGACCTCCCCCATCTCTAGTTCAACTCTGGCTTCCTGGCTAGTTGAAATCCATCTCCCCTTCTCCCACTGGGTGGCTGTCCGTGATTGGTTTTTTAATAGGAACTGTTTTCCTCCTTTTGTAGGCCTATACCATTCAAGGACAGTATGCCATTCCACAGCCAGATGTAAGTTTTGTTTTCGCTTCTTGTTTTGAAAAGCTCCCTCTCCCATCCAAAATTGTTTTCACTCTTCTATATAGGCAGAAGTGAGTTGGGTCTTAAACATTTACAGTTTTGTTTTCCTCACAAGGTGAAACGAATCCCATATTTTGGCCCTTAAATAATCTATAATCAGGGCCACAGTAGCACCTTGTTTGCCTTTCGACATACTCACTGGAAATTGGAATTCAGCAGATTATTAGATTCTGCTTTACCCTATGTTCCATATTATTCTATCTAAAAGAGAAGTGTTCCATGCTATATTGTCATTTGTTGTTCCAGGGCACAGTTTAAATTGACAATGGACTGACTGTGCATCTCTTCAGAGAGTCCTTTCCATGAGTGGGGGCAGTGGGAGGTTGGGTTTATCTTTTGGGTACTTCTCAATTTGAGGTGACAATTTAAAAAGCATCTGGATGGGTGGGAAAGGGGCTTAATTTGCACAGGGAGGGATAAGAAGCTGAATATTTGGGGATTCATATCAGTAAAAACCTTTCTTGCCACTAAACACTCCTTTTTAAAAGCGCTAATATTCAGACTTCGTCTCTGCACTTTCTCTGTCATTACTAACCCTTTCAGGTGCTGAGCATTAGACTTGGGAAGTTGGGTTTGGTTCTTGGTCAGTGCTTGGCGCAGGAAGGGAAGTAGCCTTGAGGAGGGATTGTTTTACAACAGCCAGGATAGTTTGTATAGGTGAAGAAAATTAGCTGTAGAAATCCATTGGGTGGGGGGTGGGGCTGAGCCCAGTTTGGTTTCATCTTAATCTCTCTCCTCCTTGCAGTTTCCCTGCCCCCTCATCTCCTTCCCTTGTCCCAGTACTGACAACCCTGCATGGTGTGTTTTCCCTAGCACCACTGCACAGTTTGTTTACCTAGCCTGTCTGTGCTTGTCCCTGGGGCAACTGTTGCAATGGCTGCAAACACCTTCATTATTAGCCCACAAGGGGATGGTTGTCAGGCAGGTGCTGCTGCTTTTCTTTTCACACACCCAAGATGCATTCATTCTCTTGTATTGATGCCCTTTCTACTTCTCACCCTTACCTGCATATTCTGCCCATCTCCAGGATTGTGGTATAAGCCCCATCTTTACTCTGTTTCGTAGTCTGAGTAGTAGAGTCAACTTTGGGGATCAGGAGCTCTGCATTTTCAAGTCTGAATGTGCTTGAGCCCTGGCTCTGTTACTCTTCTAATGACAGCCTCTCCTGTTTCCTCCCTGCAGTTGACCAAGCTGCACCAGTTGGCAATGCAACAGTCTCATTTTCCCATGACGCATGGCAACACCGGATTCAGTGGTATGGATACCTCAGTGTTTATTTCTGTAAGGTGTAGTGCAAGACAGAGGCCAGCCCCAAGGTCTCAGTTTGGCATCTGTTTAAAACATACTTCATTACCCAGCATCCTGCTGGTTTAAACTTGCCTGTCTTCTATCACTAAACCAAAGGAGGTAATGCATTTGTTAACTTGGTTTTCATTTGGGATGAGTTATTCTTTTTAAAAAAAAAAAAAAAAAAAAAAGGCCCTGGAAGGTTTGGGGTGAGGTTTGGGGATGCTTGTCAGGCAAAGGGTAGGCTGATATTTCTTCCCATCCTCACTGCTGCCCCTTTGATCTGATTGGCACCCCCTTTCTCTCCGCCAGCTATTCAGAGATCTGGGTAGAAAATCCATTTGTGCCAAATTGTGTAGTGGTTTTTGGTTTTGTTTTGTTTTGTTTTTGGGGCTTTTTTTTTCTGTATAAGGAATAACTTGTCCGATAGGGTTAGGATGAGACCACCAAACTCATTTTCACTTGTATCTTAACAGGCATTGAATCCAGCTCTCCAGAGGTGAAAGGCTATTGGGGTAATGATTAAAAAAAAAAAATCTGTAGTATTCTACTGTTATATTAATAAACTGGTGGGAGTCTTGTTTCACTGCCCATGACATACCAGCAAGATGCACATGGCAGAAAGGAGCTGAGAGAGCAAAGGGGTGGGCCTGGTGCCCCTGAGGGTCCTTTGATGGATCTGGCCAACCCCCTTCTAAAAATGTTGAGTTTAGCAGCCACAGCTGAGAGTAGGACTAGCTTTGAGAATTAGCCAGTCAGCCTGGTTCTGTCCAGGTGTTAGTAGTATTGATGGGTATGGGTGTTTGCTGATAGGATTTTTTTTCTTTTTCTTTGGAAAACAAAATAAAAACCAGAACAAATTACTGAGCGATTGAGGAAGAGACAGGGAATAAATCTGGAGAAATGAATTTCCCTCACCTGGCTGCCATTTCATTCTCTTTGACCTTCAAGTGTAGGTTAGGATTGGGGGAGGTGTTAATCTGATACAGGTATATTTAAAGCAACTCTGCATGTCTGCCAAAAGTCCATGGTACCCAGTAACAGGCATGATATTGGCACTGGTGCTAGTGAGCATCAGGTGAGATAAAATTGGAACACAACAGCAGCAGGAAATCTTAAGCAGAAAAGGGGAGCAGTGCAGAAGGATTTGGTTAGATTTTGGTCCTACCACATTCCCTTGCCCCTTGCTTCCATCCCCTTAACACCCTAATAGGCTGGGCTTTGCAGGAAATGGCATGAAATCAGCTCTTCTGAGTTTACAGAGGAACCTTTCCAGCATTATTTCTGTACCCCTTTCCCCCTCTTTCCTCCTTGGAGGCTTCCAAGTTAGTGATGAATCCCAACAGCCAATGCTGGGTTTCCAGTTTGTTTCCTTCTGTTAGGTTAATGTGCAAATCAGTGGGGGTTTGTTTGCTATGCATTGAACTTCCTTGCTCTCTTCTGTCTTTTAGCAGGTTTGGATGCATCTGCTCAGACTACTTCTCATGAACTCACCATTCCAAATGATGTGAGTATAATTAATAGGGTTGCATGGGATAAAAATAAGAGAGTCGATACAGTGTCATGCCATTCTTGAGGCCTAGCAGGGAAGACATGGGTTTTTGGTTTTTTTTTTTTTTCAGATCCTGAATTAAAAATTTTAAAAGTATGTAGAATCATAAATAAAAACTGATGGAGAAAATGGGTAAAACTGTTGTGTTGAGGTATCATGAGGTAGAACCATTTTTGTCTCAGATACAGATTCCCATTGGCTTTGGTTTCTTGGATGATCCAAAGCCTTATCCTTAAAGCAGGGGCCATTGAATGTTCCATCCAACATGATAGTCGCTAACTGCATGTGGTTGTTTGAATTGTGCGAATAATCTCAATTTCTCAATCTCACTAGCCACACTAAAGGTTTTCAGTAATTATGTGTTATTAGTGTCTACAGTATTGGACAATGTGAATGTATACCCATTTTTTTTTTCTTTCCAAAGGCAAAAACATAAATTAGGCAGAATTCGGGGCACCTGGGTGGCTCAGTGGGTTAAGCCTCTGCCTTCGGCTCAGGTTATGATCCCGGGGTCCTGGGATCGAGCCCCGTATCGGGCTCTCTGCTCAGCAGGGAGCCTGCTTCCCTTCCTCTCTCTCTGCCTGCTTGTGATCTCTTTCTCTGTCAAATAAATAAATAAATATCTTTAAAAAAATAAATTAGGCAGAATTCTTAGCGGTATGTGAAAATGGTAATCATAGCACGGTAAGTTTAGGCATCTTTGTTGCCAGAAACCAGAGACCTTTATTATCCCTCGCCATGAGAAACTGATTTGTTAGCATATTGGCTCTGCTTTATTTTGTCTTTGGATTGGTACTCTAGGAAATGAGCTAATGCTCCTCAGAGTCCGTGAGCTAAGAGTTGGCTCTGACCTGTGGTAGTCGGACAAAATAGGGCAAGACTGGAGATGCAATCTAGAATCAAGTTATTTAATCAGGAGTATGTGAGTAGGGTATGTAGGATGCAGATAGTAGTTTCCATTACCATTATTGTGGATTCAAGCTGTAGAAGACTGGAGGGGTGGGATGGACTTCTTGGACCTAGCCATGCAACTCCTAATTTTGGTATGCCTTGTTTCTTTTCTTAAGTTGATTGGCTGCATAATCGGGCGTCAAGGCGCCAAAATCAATGAGATCCGTCAGATGTCTGGGGCGCAGATCAAAATTGCGAACCCAGTGGAAGGATCTACTGATAGGCAGGTTACCATCACTGGATCTGCTGCCAGCATTAGCCTGGCTCAATACCTAATCAATGTCAGGTAAGTGTTCCTCCCTACCTTTTGTCTTATTGTTGGTAACACATTAACGTGTGTGTTGGGGAAAACTACAGTGTATTATTAAATGTGGGAGTATTTGGGGGATGGGAGGGGGGATGGGTGGAGACAGCAATAAAGTTTTGCCCTACTTTGATCCATTCTTAGTGTAGCAAGCAGAAAAAGTAACAAGATTGGAATAAATTTGTATGGGGGAGGGGAATAGAATGCTTGCATTTGACTTGACGGTTTTAGGCACGGAAACAGTGGAGCACATTTTCATCAGTAGGGTAGTGCTCTGGCTGGAGCATCCGTACTAAGAAGATGTGGGTTTCTTGCCGTACATATCCTAGAACAATATTTTACAGGTGGAGGTTAGTCTCCAAAGTGCCCTAATTGGAGTAAGGATAATGAAGTAGTAATGTGACGGCAAGGCAGTTTCTTGGAAGCAGCGATTACCATTAATATTCTTTCTAAAATTGCAAATGTGTTCCATTGTTCAGAGCTTGTGGGAAAGGAGAGGCACAGGTTTTGGACTACTATTTCAGAAATGCCTAGCCTGTTCTTTGTTTTTTGTTTTTTGTTTTTTTTGCCACCATCTCATACCATAATGGCTTCCTGAGGTTTTATTCTCCTCACCCAAACCTAGCTGATGTTACTGCACAGGACAGCCACAGTGGGGGTGTTTGGAGTCTGGGGGGGGCATCCTACAAGGCATTCATATTTCTTGCTTTCTTAGCACATTTGCTTCAGTCACGATCTTAATTGCTTACTAACATGCTAAGCCAGGGTTAGCAGTCCATTTCCCCAGGGGGCTTAGCCATCCTTCTCTTGTAGATTTTTGTCTAGTTCTCACTTATTCTCTGTCACAACTGTTCAGTTTCTCTTGTGCATAAAAGGTGTTCTGAGTTCCTGAATCTAGGGCAAAGGAAAGGAATTCATAAGTGTGAAGTCTGTTTTGTCTGCTTATACTGACTTTGTAATTATTCCATTGTCTTTTATCTCCTGGTTAAGAATTTATCAGTTCCCCCATGGTTTTGACTTTTGCCCTAAGCCTTTTATAATGCCTTGAGGTATTGACTAGTATTTATGTAGAAAAGATTTCCTGTGTCTGGATCTGCTTCAGCTACCAAGCACATCAGATTCTTCATGTTCAGTAGGAAATGGTAGTAAGTTTGTGTAGAGGCTGTTTGCAAAGGTTTTTCTTGTTTCTAATTGGAATATGGCAGGGCAGGTCTGAGGGCAGGTCTTAGGTGGTGAGATTCATGTTGTTGGAAGGTGGGGATTGTTGTCTTCTGCTTGGGCTTACCCTAAATACTGTCAGGTAGTGCTTAAATGGAAGCAGCTTGTTTGACCCTAGGTCATAAGGAAGCCGAACATCTCCACCTGAGTTTCCTGATTCAGTTGCTCTTTTCAGGATCCTCCTTGGAGGATGGCTGGCCATTTAGGGTTGTCCCGTTTCATGAAACTGTCCAAACTATGAGTTTGGGTCACAACTTTGTGAGGCTTCATTTAACACCGAAGCAGAGATTGTACATGCACAAAACTTATTCTTCACTCTCCCTTCTGGGCCAAGTTTGAGTGCACAAGCGAGCTGGTTTTGTTACTACCAGGCAAGAAAGATTTCTCTGCTTTCAGGAATGGATTTTGAGCATTTCTGCTCTTACTCTGTCAGTGTGGGTCCTTTCTTTATCCCTGCTTTATGGATTGTAACGTCTCTGGACTTCAGTAAACAAAATGGAATCTTAAGAGGAGGGGCCCTGCCCTTGAAGAGTTAATCTTGTGGGGTAGGTTGTCCAGACAGTCTTTGACAAATACTGCTGTTCTGGCTTAGATGGGTGGGCGTTCGGAAGGTGCTGGTCATTAGGCTATTTGGACTTCGCTTCAGGAATCTGAGGCATATTTTTACATTTTTAAATGAGTTTTTCGGGAGTGCTTGAGTATCTTTCAGTTCTGTGAGGTCTATATTAGAAGTATGTTTTGTGAAAAACAAAGGGCTTTTTTCCCTCACCCCCACCTCTTACCAGAAACAAAGCTTTCCTAGTTGTTATCTACACTTTTGTTCTCAGCATTTTTCTTTAAAAATGCTACATTCTTTCAAGTTCTGAAATTAGTGACCTACTTCGGTTTCTTGTCCTTTCCCATCCTGATACATTGGTTCATTTGTTGTAGAAGATGGAAGCACACTTCAACATTAGGGGGGAAAGTTTCTAATTCTATAGAATAATATTCTATACCTTCTCAAGGGATTGGTGAGTGTAACACTTTTGTTCCTTGTTCGGGGATTGCTCTAAATATTCTTTCATTTTCTACTTTGAAATAATTTCTTTCTGACTTCTGGGTTGGATCCACGTGTCAGATACATGGAAGTGTGTTTTGTGTGATTTCTTTTCTCAGTCTGTCTGCTTTTTCTTCACCATAACAGTTTTATATAGCCTTGTGGAATGGGATTTGGTAAAGTGTACATTTTTTTAGAGGGTGGGACACAGACTGAAAGAGGGGCGTTTTATCACAAGTTGGTATTAGGTCTTCCTAATTTGCAGCCAGAGGCACTTAACTGATAACAAGCGGTTTTTGTCCTGTACTTTTTCCCTTTTGTGGTCTTCCCTTCCACCCACCCTTTTTTTTTGTTCCTTTTTTCCTCTGTTACAGTTTAGAAAACGCTAAACCCTCCTCCCAGGCAGCCTCCGTCACGATCCCTGATCACCTCAGCATCAACCTCTCTCAACCCTCCACCCCTTCTTCTTCTTCTTCCTCCTCCACCACCACCCCCTCGCTCGCCACAGCGGGGACCTCCGACGCACCCTCCAGCCTCCCCAACCCTCTTCCGACCGCCCCTTGTGTCTCCAGTCTGCTTGGCATGAAACCCATCCCTCTCCTGGCTCTAAATGTTGTGTCTGCTGCTAAGGGGACCGGGGCTTCTGCTACCACCACCACCACCTCTGCCGTGCCATGTGTAACTAACAAACTGAAAGGCGAGAAACAGAGATTCTCCCCCTACTGATTGAGTATCTTGAGGTACCCCCTCAAGTACTTCTTGGTTCATTTTGTTTTTCTTTGTTAACATTGGTGAGAACCAAACAATTGTGAGCTTGTGATCGTTTCCTTTTTACTATTTGGGGCATAACAGGGTGGGGGTGGGGGTAATGGTAACCTGGGGTTAGGGTTAGGCCATTTCATCTGAGTGCCTGTTTCAGAGTCTGACTTGTTGAATTCTTTATCTAGAGCCACAGTTCTTGCTCTTCTTTTTCATTCTGTTACTTTTTTGTAGCTTTATTCTGCATTGCAATATAACAATGTGTTAGGCTCTGTGTTAATGAATAAAAGCTTCTCCGTTAACCCCCCCCCTTTTTTTTTATTATTTAATGGTTAAGTTATTAGCAGGCCGTTGTGGCCAGATTTGTGTTTCTAGCTGTAATAAAGTTGCCACAGTAAGAACTTTAGTTGACTGTGTGCTGTGAAGGGTAACGGGGTGGGCACTTGTGACCTGTGGCTACTCAACTAGGGAGTCTGGAACGGGGACTTGGGCCTGTTTGTGTCCCTGGTTGATTCAGTAGCAGTCCTTTGTCATTCCCCACAAAAGGACATGGGCCTGTAGCAAGTCACAGCCTGAGGGTCTTCCTTAATTGGCATTAAGATGCTTTAGTGAAAGACCAGTTTCTCTGACTTCTCAGATCCCTTACCTTGCCAACAGCAGCAGGTAACAAGGGTGTCCATCCCAGGATTGTTGCCTCTGGTGAGTGGTTACTCTGAGAATCTTTTATAGAGCATACATATAAAGAAGTTACTTCTTGACCTAGAATGGGAAGGCAAATTGGAAAAAGTCTAATAAAGTTGACTGGATTTTGTCTTCATTTCTCTGAATGAGAAGTATCCCTCTTCCTATGACACTGGGTAAATCTTGAACAACCAGCCTGTAACATCATCCGTAATTTGACAGGATTCTCTAGTCATTCCAAACCCACCCTGATTACTAAGTTCCTTTACCCTTCCTTCCCTTCCCTGCCCCTGCTTCTGTCTCCCACCAACCCTCTCACAAGTAGAGAATTATAAACTTAGATTTAGAAGGAACCCTTAAGATCAACTGTAACTCACCAGTCCCCTCACTTACCAGATTAAAAAACAAAAGCCTTGGAGAATTTAAATTCACAGATCACATGAGTGACTAATCTGCACTAACAACTTGTGCTTCACTTTTAACTCAAGTGTACTTTATCTCCCTGAAGTTAATTTTCCTTGTCCCAAGACCACAGCTCACTCTCCACAAAAGACTAGAAGTGCTGTAGGTGTGATGGCAGAAGGCCTCTCATGCATGGTCTCCTATTCAACCTAAATGCATATGGCTCTTCTTAGGGCATTAAGATAATTAGTATAGAGATTTTTTTCTGTTGACCTTTTCTCGCATCTCATTTGGTTTACAGTATTAAAAAACCTAACTGCTGATAAGTATTGCAGCGTGTTATCTCATGGCGTTGTGGTCTCTCAGTCCCACATTTGGCCTATGAAATTAGTGTTCTGTGTCCCGAGTTTGCACAGAGGAGCAGCCTTCATTTCATTGTCCAGATAGTTTCCTCTTGTTAGTTGTTGGTGGTCCTTTGTCATATGGTCCAGCTCTCCCTTAATAAACTAACTCTCTCTCTAGTTAGGACTTAATTCTGCCTGTACCATCTCCCCCCAGAGACCAGATTTTTATTTTATCTAGTTCTTGAATAGAAGGCCTCTTTACATAATGAGTGCTCTCTAACGGAGGAGTGCAGAGAAGGAGGCAGATGCCAGCTGCCACCACGACCTCCAGGGGTATTGGTGTTAAATTTTTAAAAACTTTTTGGGTTCCCTATGTGGTCCTTCTTATTATAGAGTCCTTAGCATGGTATTCCGGTTGGGTTTTCCCTTCTTGCCACCTTTCCACCCCCTGCCTCAGTCACTGCTTAGGCTGTATATAAATTCTGGATAGGTATTTTTGTTTGTTTGTTTAAGAATGTATTTATTTGGCAGACACAGCGAGAAGAGGGAACACAAGCAGAGGGAAGTAGGAGAGGGAGAAGCAGGCTTCCAGCTGAGCAGGGACTCCCCTTGTGGGGCTCCATCCCAGGACACTGGGATCATGACCTGACCCGAAGGCAGACACTTAATGATTGAGCCACTCAGGTGCCCCTAAATTCTGGATACTTCTTTTTGAGCTCTTTTTATTGCCTGAGTGCCATGACCTTCTTGCATGAACTTAATTTTCTTTTAGGTCTTAGACCGGAATTGTTCCAGCAGCTCCATCCTGAACCTTCACTCCCCACCAAACTCTTAGGTTCAGGACTTACTGCTTATTATGTAGCCCTAGGTCATCCTATTTTGAGATTGGCGAGAATCTGCCCCCCTATAAAAGAACTAACTATTCCCTCTTTATGCTGAGGTAGAAATACCATTTTAGACTTAAATACAGTTTGTAGTTGAAGGACCTGTTTCCTGGTTCTCGGGTGTTGTGTTGTCCTTCCCTACCCCCTACCACCTTGGCTTTGCATTGTTGTGGAAGGCAGAGAGATGGCGGAGTACTATTCATTTTGTTCTTGACTAGATACCACAAATAGGTTATGCCAGTTAGTTGAAAAGCCTCATGAAATAAATTTATGAATTGAAACGGAGTCTTACACATTTAGTTCTATTCAGAGCGGGGGCTAAGACTTTCTGGGTATGTAATACTCCGTGAAGCAGTCTATAAATACCTAAACAGTCCTCCTTCAGAGTTCAGAATTGGGTTCCAGGACCTCAGGTGATAAGATATATTTGTGACAGAAAGGCACTGTAGCTGGCTGGGTATGTCTGAATGGAGAGTTTAGCTTGAGGAGCCCAAAGCTTTGGGAGCTTCTAGAGTGAACCAGGGAATTGTTGAAACATGTTGGCTTCTGCTTTTTAAGTCTGAAGGCGATAGGTTGGGTGTAATTCTTAAGTATACTTGCTCTTCCCTTTTTAACATCCCCTAGCGTTTAAAAACTATTATTATCTCTTAGTGGAATAGCCTTCACAATGCTAGAGAAACCGAGGACAGAAGCCTTTGTCGCTCTATTGCTCTGTCTCAATATTAGCCTCATGAAGCTACTTTCAGATAAAGGTTTCCTAAACTGCTTTCTATCAGTAGCTTGGGAGGAACTAAAATAAGCTCAGTAAAGAAAAGGTGCTTCTGTGTAGTAGGGCCCTATAAGAGGAGGTTTTAGTGTGTGGCATAGTTTTGGAAAGCATCTAACATCTCCCAGATACTCCAGAGCGCTTCATTAAAGGAGCCCCCGCAGTTGGTAATAAGAGTCTGTTTCCTTCAGTTCTGGGATAATTTTCCTCAGAAAGCTTGGATTACAGGGGTTAGAGAGTCATGGTACAAGTTAATCCAGGAAATCTTAAAATGTCTCCTTTGACATTGAAAGTTTCAGAGAGGTGCAGCTGGGCATTCAAAAAACTAACTTTGAGTTCTTGTTTATTTTTTGTGTTACAGGCTTTCCTCGGAGACGGGTGGCATGGGGAGCAGCTAGAACAATGCAGATTCATCCATAATCCCTTTCTGCTGTTCACCACCACCCATGATCCATCTGTGTAGTTTCTGAACAGTCAGCGATTCCAGGTTTTAAATAGTTTGTAAATTTTCAGTTTCTACACACTTTATCATCCACTCGTGATTTTTTAATTAAAGCGTTTTAATTCCTTTCTCTGTTCAGCTGTTAATGCTGAGATCCATATTTAGTTTTATAAGCTTCTCCCCCCCCCCCTTTTTTTTGGCTCATGAATTTTTTTTTCTGTTTGTCATGGAAATGTAAGAGTGGAATATTAATACATTTCAGTTTAGTTCTGTAATGTCAGGAATTTTTCAAAAAAATTAAAAGATGGACTGGAGCTTTTTCTTTGTGAATAGAAACTGGATGCCACAGTGATTCATGTGGGTTTTATTCCTGTTGTCTTGCTGTTCTTTTTGCACCTTTTATGCCTCAGAGGACAAGGACCCTGCTTGGGTTTTGAATATAAGCCTTTATTCCAGTTAAGATGTTTTCTTCTGTTTTACCACTCCATCTTTTTTTTGTAGCCCTTGAACCAATTTTCCCTTGAGCCTACCTTGCAGAGTAACCAAATAACGTTCAAGCTAGCCATGTGCCCTTTGTCTGAAAGTTTGGAGGAGGGTTACATTTACCTAGGACTTGTCTGCAAAAAATAGGCAAGCACTTCCACTGGGTGGGCAGGGGATGGGGAAGGATGCACGTGCGTACTGTGGGAGCAGTTGAATGTGTGTGTGTCGGACTGGAATTCAGGTTGCTGGACATGTCTGTCCCATACTTGGCCAAGCTAAAAACCAGTCTTTTGTTTTGAATGTTCATTTACAGTTATAAGAATATGTGTTTTAACATTTTCTGTCTTCTAAAGTCCTTCCAGAAAGATGTACCTGCTCTCGTTTATGCAGATGATTTTAGAAAAGGTTGAAACTTTAAGCAATGTTCATTTAGTGGGGGGAAGAAAGCATAAAAGGAGGGAAGAACTTGTCCAGAGTCCTCAGATAATGTCTGGAGCCCAAGGCTCCTACTTCAGCCATGTGTCCTGCCCCATACATTCACCAAGAAAACCCTCAACAGCTGGGCCTGCGTGGAGTGGCTATATTTTAAGATTTTTCACAGGGGTTACAATATGACAGTCCCCACCCCAATCAGGCACCAGGATAAAAGCAGGGACTTAAAACATCATCCCCTTCCTTCAGCCTGAGCCATCACATGCTTTCACAATCTCCTAATCTCCCTCTCGGCCCTAAGCCAGGGCTTGGGCAGAGAAACGGAGGGACAAAGAAATTAGTTACATTGCCACCTGAGAAACCTCAGAGGGGAGGACCCAGCCTTCGCCTCCCTCCTCCCAAGTGCAAAATGTGTAAACAGAGTAAACGGAAAACAAAAAAGTGCAGTCTAAGTGGCTCCCTTTCCTCCTCCCCAGGGTTGGGGGAAAAGAGTATAGAGGAACGTAAGAGGCAAGTCTGGCTTTTCTATTGCCTTACCGCTCGCTGAACATAATGGGGTGAAGCAGGAAGGGGCCAGTCTGCCCGTACCCACAGCTCTAGGGTAGTACTTGTCCTTCATTTCCACAGCTGCCAGTAGCCCTAGAGTTTCATCAGGTGAATTGGTCAGGGGTCAGACTCCCTTGAGCCTGACTTAAGGCTGGGACAGCCCCATCTTTCTCTGTTGATTATGTGGTGCTTATATATTATTTATATAAATAACTTTTCTATGTACAGGAATCAGAGTGGCTTTCATGGAGGGAGGGAGGCTGGAGGCTGCAAGGCTTCACCACTGTTGGAGTTGTCCAGTTCAGTGCTGTCACAGTCTGAGTCCTCATTAGTGGGAGGGCCCTGTGAAGAAGAGAAGTACAGTGAGGGGAGGCTCAGCAGCTCTTGGTGTTACAGATTGATTCCTTCAGGATCCTTCACTGAGGTCTTGTAATAGCCAGCAGCTCCCTGATTTTTCACAGTCTTCAGATTTCAGTGGCTGAGGCCATGAGATGTCAAGGCACCAGGTTCCCGTTTCAGGATTCGTCCTGGCTGCGATTTACAGCTACTGTACAAGCAGCACCGTTCACCTACTAACCATGCTTACATGCTCTATACCCTGGGCCTCTCAGATCCACCCTGTGGATGTAGGCCCCTTGGTACGGGAGGAACTGGGCTCGCATATTGAGTGACTTGGAAGCTAAATACTGAGCTTTCTGGTGTCTGTCTGTCTACCTCTAAAGTCCTAAATAACTATGCATCTGCTCTTAAATGTACCTAGTTGTTTCTGAGACTCACCTGCTCCCCTCTGGGTAGGTCCTGGTGTGGGATGGGTCGGGAGCTGGGTTCGGGGCCAGGAACCACCTCTGATGCAGGTGGGTCCAGTGGGATTTCTGAGCCCTGGGAACACATGTCATCAGACCGCTCATCTGGCCGCTCGTCGGTGTTCGTACTGCCAACTTCAGGTGTGCCACTGGGGGAGGGCTCACTGGCTGTGCCCTCCTCCCCATCAGATGGATTCTCTGAGCTGAAGGTGGACAGTGACTGGCGCATGTTCATGCCTTGAGGCCACCTATATGTTGGAGAGGCCAGGGTTACAGTTGGCATACCGCAGCCCCCTAAGCAAAACACTGTCACTACTGTACGTGTCACTTACCTCTGGCTTGATGGCAGCTCTACTTCACTGTCTACCTCTCCTTCCTCTTCCTCCGATGAGATGCCACGTTTCTGCAGGAGAGGAGTACTGCAGTCAGAAGTGGGAAGAGATCAGCAAGGACCCAAGAGAAGGGAACATAGTCATTAGGGTTAAGTAGGGAATGGCTTAAGATGAAGACCTAATATGGGAGGTGAGTTGTGGACTTGGGCCCAGGGGAGAACAAGGAAAGGGTAGGAGCTTAGGAACCACCCCATACTTTACCTGGCTCCGGGTGACAGCAGCCCTGTACAGCAGTGCAGCTGGGGTCAAGTGCTGGGACCCAGCCCGGCTTCCTCCCCGTCCCGCCGTCCCTTCCCTTCCAGTTCCCAGCAGCCCCACAACGTCACCAGGCCCTACTGGTGGAGGTGGCTCCCCTTTGGCTCCCCCAGGTGAATCTGGGCTGGTGGAGCCTGGTGCAGAGCCCTCACTTGGAGGGGTATCTCCCCGAGCTGGAGGTGGTGAGCCAGGATCCCCAGCTCCCCCTGTGGCCCCTCGGCCCCGGGCTCCCAGTGCTGCCGACAGCAGATCCGGGGATGATGAAGACATCTTTCGGAGCAGGAGGTCATGGTGGAGCCCACGCAGGGCTGGAGGACAGGCCTCCCAGGCTGAGGGTCCCCCTCCTAGCCCCCCTGGGCTTCCTGGTCCCCCAGGTTCATGGGGTGGCAAAGCTGCACGAAGCCCAGGCAGGTCTCCACAGCTGCCCTTGGCGCTGGCCTTGCGGTGACGAGTCTTGCCACGACGACTCCGTCCTGGTGAGGGGGGGCCCTTAGGACACCCAGGAAGCCCCACCCCACTCAGGGCAGCATCAAGTTTAGGTAGCAAAGATTCAGTCTTGAGGATATCTGGCCTGGTAGGGGAGGGAAAGTACAAGTCTGAGATGAACAGAAACCAATCTTGAAACATACCAAACTTGAAAGCCCTCCCCAACCTTGGGTAGTACAAAGTCTATCCCCCCCACCCCCCCACAGATCATCATCTGGGCATCCTCGGTCTCCACCCCTGCTTCTAGCACTCCCCCTGCCGATCTGCAGCCTCACCACTTGAGAACTCTGGTCCCACCTTTTACTGTGGGGTGACAGTTTCTGTGGGACGTTCCTCTTCTTGATGAGCTTCTCCATAGTGTTCCCATGCAGGAGGCCTCGGGAAGGGTGTGACTTAAGCAGACCTGGGCATCTCCGCTCTAAAGCTTGTTCCCTCCTAAAGATAAGACACCTCAGTCCAGCATGTGATCAGAAAGGGGGACCCAGGCTCTGTAGGTTCTCTGTGTCACAGCTCCATGAGGATGAGATCTGATGCGTGGGGTGCATACGGTTACCTGAGCAGCTCCCGCTCCTTGAGCTCCAGCTGCAACATGAGGGCATTAAGCTCCATGTACAGGTTGTTGGCTCTCTCCAGCTTCCGTTCGTAGTGCTCCCGGATGTCCAAGGCATGTCTGAAACAGGCAGAAGGGTCTCTGAGGTGAGCCAGCGTCACCTGATGCTGTAATTAGTCCCAGTCTCTGGGAACTGGTCCAGGGTCCCTGCTGGTGATGAAATCCCCTTCCCAGACAAATGCACACACCTGAGCTCCTCCCTCCTCCGCATCACCAGCTCCTCTTCTAGGCGGTGCAGACAGGTCCCTTCTGACTTAATTTTTTCAAAGTGCAGCTTTACCTCTTCGCGCCACTCTGCCTAGGGGGTGAAGAGAATGAGGGGTGAGGGACCTCCTTTGAGCACAGAGGAGTAGGCACAGGACTGGCCAGGATGGGGGGGTCTCAGCCCTCCCAAGAGCGAACCTACCATCCCTTCCACCCATCCCCACATCCCCTCAGAGGGCACACTCTTCTCTGCAGAGGGAGGGAGTAAAGGTGTCCCTTTTCCCGCCCACAGCACACCTGGGACTTAAAGTAAGTCTCCTGGGGTGTGGACAGGACGTCGGCTGAGGCGATGTCCAGGTGCAACAGGATCTGGCGGAACGATGGACGATTTCTTGGTTTGCTGTTCCTGGAGGGCATGGAGTTGGAGGGGGGTAATGGAGACAGAAATTTTAGGGATGACCAGAAAGGAACTAGAGCATCCTTTCCCCAGATGTGCCCTGGAGAAGAGAACGCTAGAGTGTGTTCTGTGACCGGCTCCTTGGTCCACTGGCTCTGCTCTCCCATTAGCACATCAAAGTCCTGCAGTAGGGAAACCTATTTAATCCTATTTTCCGAACACCTTTTTCTGAGTAACTACATTCAGACAGACACGCTTGGGGAAATGGTAAACCAAAGGTGGGAAATCACCAACCTCCCTTCAGAGTCTAGGTTCCAAACAAGGCCCTAGGGCCCTCTCTTCCTGGGTTCTAACGCAGCCCTCTCACTCCAGTTACCGTGCTCTGGGGCTGTGCTGGCCCTTTGCAGGTGCACCCTGGCTGCTCTGGCCAGCCGGGATTGGGGTCTGTCTTATACAGACCAGGAAACGGGCTCGGGGTGATAACACTTGCCCAAGGCGGCACAGTTTGTCTCAGTCACGAGGGAGTTTGGGCCCTCTTTGCCTGTCCAGGATTCTGGGCCTGGAGGCCTGGCTTCCAGGTGCCGTCCAACTGCCAGCAACCACCCTTCACTTTCCAGCTTTGCCAGGCCGTCCTTACCAACACTGGCGAAGCAGGATTTTGAAGCCGTCTGGGCAGCTGGAGGGCACAGGCAGATGGAGACTGTTGCTTCCCACGCCCCAGATGATGGCTGAGGAATCTACGTCTTTGTAGGGGATCTCACCAGTCAGCAGTTCCCATAGCACCACGCCAAAGGACCTGGGGATAAGAGGGGACATCCCTTGGGAGGGGCTCCCTCCAGAGGCCCTGGAAGCCCCCTCCCTCCCTAGGGTTGGCTAGCTGCCCGCCTCAGTGCTCAGCTCAGCCCTCACCAGATGTCGACCTTCTCGGACACAGGCTCATTGCGGATCACTTCAGGGGCCATCCAGGCTACTGTCCCTGCAAAGGACATCTTGGTGCTCTTGTCACTCAGCTCCTTGGAAGTGCCAAAATCGGAGATCTTCACCACATCGTCGTACGTGATTAGCATGCTGGTAAAGATCGTAGTCAGCTGGGGGCCAGGCCCCTCTCCACACCTCTTCTAGCTGCAGCAACTCTAACTTTAAGTCATTTGGGACACCCAGAGGCCGGGGGCTTGCCACAGTCCTCCTGAAATAGGACTGTCATTTGGGAAGGGTTTTTGAGATGGGCCACATGGACTCAGGACGGGGGTCTGGAAGCAGGGAGCCGGCTACACTGGCTGGGGGGTCACTTGCAGGAGACCATGCACGTCAGCTTCTCTGTGCTTGCTGGCTTACTCACTTGGGGGACTTGAGGTCTCTATGGATAATCTTGTGCAGGTGCAGGTAGTTCATGCCACCGGCGATGCCCATGGACCAGTCAACCAGCAATGAGGGGGTGACAGGGCGGCCAGCCCGCAGTACCTCGTACAGCTGGCCCTGGGCGCAGAACTCCATGAGGATGCAGTAGCAGGGAGCCTGGGTGCATACGCCCCTGGGGGCCAAAAGGGGGCGTTAGGGCCTGGGCCAGCCTCCCAGGCCCCTGATTCCCACTTGGAAACCGACCCTCCCTATCCCCTGTCCCCGCCCAGCCCCCTTTAACCCCTGCCCACAGCCCAGTGGCCCTGGCTTCAACCCCTGCCTGGGACCTTACTTGAAGGTGATGATGTTGGGGTGCTTCAGCTTCCGCAGGTGCTTGATGTCCGTCTCCTTCAGGTCCCGTACCTTCTTTACAGCCACCTCCTCCCCATGGAAGCGTCCCAGGAACACCGCGCCCTGGGCCCCCGAGCCCACCCACTGCAGGTCCAGGATCTCCTCAAAGGGGACCTCCCACAGGTCTGCGAACAGGAGGCGAAGTGCCACCAGGCTCGGAGGGAGCCACGCGCAGGAGCTTGGAATGGGCAGGCACGGGCAAGCCTGGGGCTGGCTGAAGGGACTCGGGGGCCCAGGCCGAAAACAAGCCACAAGAGGCCAAGGAGGCAAGGGCTGGGGGAACAGGGAAGGGAGCCAACAGAGGCCTCCGACAAAGCCAGGGCGTTGCGGGGGTGTGCTGCTGAGGGGCCATGTCTGGGCCCCAGGGGAGAGATGGGGCTGCCCACCAGGTCTCGGGGAGACAGGGACAGTGCCTCCATGAGGATGCGGCCTACCTTCCTGCTGCTGCTTGTGCTCTGTGGAGTAGGCTTTGCCGATCATGGTCCAGACAGGTCGCAGGCAGCCGAAGAGCCCTTCCAGAAAGCCGCTGCCGCTCTGGCACTGCAGCCGCACCTCGTCAGCTCGGACCCTGGATGCCCGACTCTCAGGTGACCCCGTGGCTCCCCCGGGGCCCCCTGCATCCTGCTCGTGGAGCTGCAGGACACTATTGGCGAAAGGCTCAGGGGGCGGCTCTCCCCCGGGAGAGGGGCTCGGCCCGCCCCCGCCCTGCCCGCCCAGCGGCACCACATCTCGGAGTACACACTGGGTGGGCGTCAGGTCCTTCTCCGGGGTGCAGTCGGAAGTGTCCGGGTCGAGCTTGCGCATCGACGCCTCGCTCAGGGTGGACACGAAACCCCCGAAGGAGGGAGAGGGTGTGCGGGTCTCATGGAGGCAGGCCATGGCCTCTGGGCCTGGGCGCGGCGGGGGGCCGTGGGCCCTAGGAAAATAGAGGAAGGGAGGGAGGGTCAGCTGGGGCTGCGCCTCAGAGGCAGAAGCCTGGTGGGGGATCCGGGCCCCCCACAGCCCCGCCAGAAGTACCACTGGAGCTGCACTCACCCTCGGGGATCCATCTCAGTAACCTGACGCATGAGCTTCCTCTGGAGCCTCCATTAGTAACATCCCTGAGCAACATTCTCAGGTGGACCCAGGCAACAGCCCCACACTCAGGCACAGACCCAGAGCTTATGCCAGAAACTCAAGTATTATGGTAACAGACTCGTCCCCTTCTCCTCGGAAGACTACTGTAATTCACCTGTGGAGCTCCCATTTCTGTCATTTCAAGCTCCCATGCACACGCAGAAGTCACATAAGGGTCTCTCAGACGTACATCTTCTACTCCGAGTCTCAGCCTCAGGTCTGTGATAGTAACACCAGAGGTCTCCCTGGCGTCGAGGCACACACAGGTGACACGCAGGCACTCTCAGAGGACATTCCTGGGCCTCTCACGTGCTGGGGAGGCACCTGGGGCTCCCACTGGTGTACTTACACGTGAGATGGCTGAGGCTTCACAGGAACACTAGCCTCAGGTGAGAGTCATCCCAAGGCACCCTCGGGCTCTCATCTGGGACTCCCTCTCCAGTGCTCACACACACCTGGGCCTTGCCAAGGTAAGGGAAGCCTGCAGTCCCTCAGCCGAACTGGCGGTGGTTGGGGATGGAGGGGGAGCAGAAGACAAGGCAGAGCCATCCAGTGGGGAGGCAGATGCAGAAGCTGGGACGAGCGGGAGCCTACTGCTTCACCCCCCCTTAGGCCTGACATCAGTTCTGCTGCTCCCTCAGGGGTCAGTTACAGAGGCCCTGTCTCCTTGCTTCTTCTCCATCACCCCATCCCCAGCTTCCAAACCAAGTACTAGCTTTCCAGAAGATGGAGATTTGTCCCAATTCTCGTAACTAGGTGCTATTTAAAAAGTAACCATTAAAAAAATCGGAATTCTAAGGGCACCTGGGTGGCTCAGTTGGTTAAGGATCTGACTTCAGCTCCAGTCATGATCCCAGGGCCCTGGGAGAAAGCCCAGCATCCGGGCTCCTCCTTACTCAGCGGGGAGCCTGCTTCTCTCTCTCCCTCTGCCCCTCCCCCAGCTCCTGCTCACTCACTCCAAGAATTAAAATCCTTTTTTAAAAAAATGTTATTTATTTGAGAGTGGGAAAGAGAGCACGAGAAAGCACAAGCAGAGGAGCAACAGAGGGAGAAGCAGACTCCCCACTGAGCAGGGAGCCTGATGTGGGGCTCAATCCCAAGACTCTGAGATCATGACCTGAGCTAAGCGACCCAGAGGCCCCAAATAAATCTTAAAAGTCTGGGTGTACCTGGGTGGCTCAGTCGGTTAAGCATCGAACTCTTGATTTCGGCTTAAGGTCGTGAGATCAAGCCCTGTGTCGGGCTCCATGTTTAGCAAAGTTTGCTTCTCTCCCTCTCCCTGTGCACTGTCGCCCTCTCGAATAAATAAATGTTTAAAAACAGAATCTGAATTCTAGCCTTGCCTCTGCCACACACTGGCTGTGTGACCTCAGGCAAACTGGACTGGGCCTCAATTTCTCCAACTGTACAAAGGGGATAAACTAGCTGTCATCACTCAGGCACAGCAAACTCTTCGACCTATACCAAACCTGTCTAGAGCTTGGCGTCTGGAGTCATTCCAGTCTTCTGTCTTCCTCCACATCTAGTCTGCTAACGGATCCTGATATGTGAGGATTCCTGAGGACAGTGATGCTCTGACTGTTCCTCATATTAGGGTCCTTCCTGAACCCCTGCACCAGAGCCTCTGAATCACAACGGGAGAGGAGGGACAGGAATCTACACATAAAAAGGGGCCACTGGATGATGACACAGATGCACATGGAAGTTTGGCACTCCCGATGGTATCAACTCTTGTAACAATTTCCAGGATTCTCAAGGATTTTTCAGTGTTTGTGGGTGGGCCTGAAACATGCATATTTAACAAGCACCTCAGGTGATTCCTACTTGACTTTGGCCCATTTGAAAAGCTCTGACCCAATGCCAGTCTGTTCTCTCTAGTTCCACCTCACTGTCTTAATTTCGGACTCTGGCTGTGTCAGCTAACCCGAGACTGCCTCGTAGTCTCCCAGTACTTAACACAGTGCACCCCCCAACTCCATTTTCCATCATTCTTTAGAAGGATCTTCCTAAAACACAGATTGGCCATCACCCCCTCTTCTGCTTCAAGCCCTTTAAGACTCCCTACTGCCCTTGGCCCAGAAGCCTTATCTCCATGATCTGGTCCCTCGCCAGCCTCGTCTCCCACTGCTGTTGGCACCCGGGCCATAGAGAACTGACACCAGGCTACATGGGGCTTCTGTGCCAGGGCCCCTAAAGAGAATGGCTAACTCTTAGGCAAGGCTTAGGATGTACGTTAGCCTCTGCCGACAGGCGCATTAGCTCAATTAATCCTCAAAACGACACTCGCCCCAAGTGACAGAGGTACTGGATAATCTGCCCGGGGTGCCCTCTCTGAGGAAAAGCCGCAAGCTCCGCCCCCGGGCGTTCTCTGCCTGGAAGTCGCTTCCCCCGCCATCTCTCCAAATCTCAGTCCTGGAAGTGTTCCTCCCTGTCTTCCCCCCACTAACCACCCCCACCCCGCCCCGCTCTGAGCTGATATCCGTCGGGGCCGGCACAGCCCGCCTGTACCTCCTTCATCGTGGCTCCCATTAGCCCGGAGGCACTGTGGGCTCAGGCGTCCGGCTCCTCCGACAGCCCGCCCTCCATGAGACCCCCGACGCTCTCGCCCGGGATCCCAGGCTTCGCCCAGCACCCGCGCGCGGGCAGGACCGTGGTCTTAAAGGCCGCCCCTACGCTAAGGACGCAGGAGCTCCCTGGCTCTTCACCGCCACCCAGGGATGGAGCTGTACCCGTCTGTCCCTCTATATTCTTGAGGAAACAGACTCAGAAAGCTTTAGTCACAGTCAGATCCAGCCTCTGAATCCTCAACATATCCCACGAGCTATCGGCGCCTGTGGAGGGGAGTAGATGTACACCGTAATGCCAACGACAAATCCAGGCCAAGAATTTACTCCGCAGGATCCCAGGGCTTTCGCCCGCGCCCCCAAGGCGGGGCGGCTGGCCCGCAGGAAGGGTGGGCTGGATCAGGCCGTTCGCGGGTCCCACGGGAAGCCCCAGGAAGGCCCTCCGAGGCGGGGAGGAAGGGGTTACGGCCTCAGCGCCCCCTCCCCCTTCCCGACCTCCTTCCCGGCCGTCACGTGGCGCGGGGCGCGTGGCTGGAACCGGGCGGGGGCCTAGCGGCGGAAGGAGGGGGTCCGGGTGGAGAAGGGGAGGGGACTCAGCGGGTTGGGGGAAGCGCTGGGCGCTGCGGCGTAACCATGACGACTGGGCCCGAGGCGGCGTGTGAAGTCACCAGGACAAGATTAGCCCAGAGTCACGTGAGCGGCGGCGGGGGCGGGGCTGCGCCTGGGCCCCGCCCCTGACCCGGGCCGGTCCATGTGCTGGTGGTCAGGAGCGCTGCGGGAATCACGGGCTCCGATCCCAGGCCCCCTCAGTCGGCCGCCTGTGCGCTGCCCTCCTTCGCATACCTCTCTCGACCCCTCATGCAGACACATCTTCGGCCCGGGCACCGAGCGGAGGGAGAGCCATTGGTGCTGGGGAGCGGGGACTCGGCTTGGAATGTGGGGAGCAGTGCCACAGAGAAAGCAGGAGATGGGGAGATAGGGACACAGAAAGGGCAACAGGCACACCCAGAGAACGGGGCGGGGAGGGGGTGGCGAGCGGAGAGATTCAGAGACCGAAACGGTGAAGCGCAGGGAGAATCAAATCGGAAAAGGATGGATTGAACGCCTGAATGTGAAAAGCAGAGAGGGCACTGAGAAAAAAGTAGCGGAGAAAGAACTGGAAAACGTGGAGACCATCTGTGCCCTTCCCAAGTCTTTCCTATTTAGAAGCTGAGCCTTGACTAGGCACCACACCTGGGTTTTTAAAGTTCTCAGTCCTCATGTGGTGTTTGGCAACTAGGAGTTTCAGGCATAGAGAGGGTGACATGCTCAGGCACTTGCCACCAAGCCTCCCTCCAGTTCACCAGGCTTCCCCAGAGGCCCCTCTGGTATCCAGGGCTCGCAACTAGGGAGACAGGGAGAGAAACCATTTCACCTGTTTGTCTTTTAGGGCAGTGGGAGTTACCTGAAGAAGTAGGTGTGATCCAGGGAAAGGGAGGGACTCTAGCTGGGCTCCTCAGGCCACCGCCAACCTGTCCTTAGGCTAACACAGCTCCTCCAGACTGACCTGAGGGAGTCAGGGGAAGCCAGGCCCCAGGGAGCTACAGTCAACTGGATATTCCTCTCCCAACACAGAGCCCCTCTCAGTTTCCTTTATCTCTGACCTACCAGCTGTGTCCCACTGCCCCCCAGCTGGGCCTTGGCGCCAGGATTTTGGGGGCACATCATGCCAGAAGCCCCTGGCCTAGACATTCGGTCACCTTGGGGGAGGGGAACTGCCTCCCTGGCCATCAATTATGCAGAGCATGGAGGAAGGGCAGAGACGTGACAGGAGGGGGTGGATATCTCCATCATCCTGTCAACCATATTTACCAAGTGCTTACTGCGCAGAATTCCAGATTGGGTGAGGGGCAGAGTGGTCCCTAAACCCTACATCTGCCAGGGCAAGAGGCTCTCTGGAAGCCCTAGGAGGTCCTAATTCGGTTTCAGCTACCTGATTCTCTGCTGGTGACTCCCAGAGTGCCCACTCAGGAGCCTGTGGTGGAGTGGGTGCCGGAAGGTCCCTCTGCTTCCCTGCAGTGTTGGAAGCTTGTGGCAAGGGAACCCTTTGAATTCTCTCTCCTGTCCTGTTCTGTTCTAACAGCACAATCTCAAGGCCAAGTTGCATGCATGTCTGGCAGTCTTGGGGGCTCAGCTGAGAGGCCAGGCCATCTGTCTAAATTGCAGGCTCTCACACTGAGCACTCACCACTGCCCTGGACCTCAGTTTGTCCTCAGGAAAAAGAGGAAGGTTCTTCTCTCTTGAGTGAGGGTGAGAAGGAAGGTCTTCACAGGGAAAGGAAACCCAAGATTCTGGGGGGGGATGCTAGTTCCACCTCTACAGGCTTTGAGATCCTGATAGGATAAAGGACCATGACCCCTCTTGACCTTGCCTCCTGGCCACTGGCCGCAGCTGTTTTTCTTTTTGAATACAGGGTTCTTTTCAGATGGAAGGCACTACAGCTTTGTCAGTGCCTTCATCAGGGGGAAATGTCTTCCCCAACGAACTTGGGGTAAATTGGAGATCACCCCTAAATCCAGGCACCCCCCTCCAACCTCATACAGTTCAAGTCCTGAGATGCCTCCCCTGGTGCCACCACCTCTTCTTCCAGTCAGCTGGGCAGTGATGGGGCAGGGGGAGGGGGCAGGGCTATTTAGGAAAAAAGAGCTAACTTTGGATTTGGAGAGATCAGAGCCAGAACCTTAGTTTTGCCATGAGTTGAAGAATGTTACCCCTTCAAGGCTCCCCGCTCTACCTTCTGCGGTGGGGATGGTTTAAGATGATGTGGGGAATGCCGTGAGCACACTGCCTGGGTCCTGACTCTGTCCTCCTGGTTAGTTGGACACCGGGTCTGTCTTTGTGGCTTCTGGAGAGGCCAGCTCTTCGTATGACCAGAAAAAGGCAGACTGGGTCTCAGACATTCTAATTCCACAGGACTTTTCTCAATATCAGGTCCCAGGGAAACCAGGTCCCAGTGGCGTGGGGCGCTGGAGTCCCCAGTCATTGGTCTCTTTGCTACCAGACCCTCAGTCCTTCCTCTACAAATCCTATCATTCCACCACCTCTGGACTAAGGGAGAAGGCCTGCACCACATACTCACCCTTGGCCAACGTGGCCCAGGATCACCCTGCAGCCCTACCCTTTAAGGTCAGGAGGGAAGGGAAAGGAGGGGTAGAAGCAGGGTATGAAGCGCCACAGTGTCCCTCCTACTCAGGTCCTCAGGTGGACCCGGAAGAAGT